ATGCACTGCAGGTTTGATTCTTGATGGAACTGTTTCTTATTATTCTATTATCTTATCTAAATGTGTACCATTTTTTAGCACCCCTAGCCTTTTCTGTCTCTTATGAATAAGTACAGTCAAATTCATTATGTAACTAAACTGCTCTTCAAAGCAGTAATGCAGCAAGTACAAGTTACAAGATTCCACTGGACTGCCATTTGTACCAACTTAATCTGTCACCATGGTTTTGATATTTCACCAAAAACATCCATATGACCTAGGGGTAGCATGTTGCCCAATATTGCGTTATTTGTCACCACTCAAAGTTTTTAATATTGACTTCTTTTTCTGCATCAGGCGTATAAGGGTTAGATAGCGCCGATCAGTCCAGTGTATTATCAAGATGTGTTTTTGAATCCTTAGAATGCATCTTCATTATTCATGTTTGTTAGATAACATATATTTTCCATCTTCAAAGACAACATATGTTCCAAGGAACACTTAATTTGAGCAAGGAAAAGTTAGAGGCCTATTGCAGTGGCACATGAATTAATTTTTGGAGATCTACCACTTTGCCCTATACGGTTGGAACACCACCTGACTTTGTATGGTCGGTGTTATTTTCAATGTACCCTATGCCAATATTTCCGGGTTTTTTTATGGGCTGGATTGGCTCAAATAAGGTGATTCTCCATGAGGGTAAAGCCTTTCTTTGTGTACTCTTGCCTGTTGGTCTGTACTTTGTTGCTGATGACTATATAAAGTTTGATGTCTTAACCAATAGTATATGCGGGTTACTGTAGTCTTCTGCATCTAATATAACCAATGTGAATGAAAAAATTTCAGCTTAATGATGAATATTACTCTTTGGCTTTTCAGTTGAAATCTGGCTTAACTGGTTTTGATGGTGTCCCCGTTTTTCAGGTAATTCATGGTCGCATTGCTGTACTATGAAATAGTATATTCTTATCAAAAGCAGTTAGATTTTAGATGCTCATTGACAGTTGGACATTATGGGATCTCTTTCAATGTGTTAAGTTCAGTTACATGCATTTCTAACCAGGGTTCCACAAATGGCTTGTTGCTTTTTTGGGCCAGTTTTGGTTTCTAAAACTCTCTCATTAATTACCACTAGCATGCCAACAGTAAAATGTCTTTTTTTTTTAAACTGTCACCGGGCGGGAAAGACTCCCCACCTGAATATATTTTAAGAAAAATTAAGCAACAATGTTTAGGTAAGGCGAGTGGAGAAAAATTCCCTCTACAGACCAACGGTAAAATGTCACTTCCATCTTTCCCCAAGATCGGGAATTCAGAAGAAAAAATTAACAATCTGTTTGGAACCCTACATCAGTTGATCAATAACACTCCTGGTAAGAGTGAACTATACCTCTGCAGTTGACAAATAACAAATGTTATAGATCTGTTGATCAATAACGGTAATGGATCTGTTAGCATGTGGACTGGTTGATTTGTTGATTAATATGTTAACTTCTAAGTACTAACAGAATAACATACTCCCTCCGATCCGAATTAATTGACGCGGCCCCTATACATTTATAGAGGCCGCGTCAATTAATTCGGATCGGAGGGAGTAGTTTATTTCCATGAGTTATATGGCTGAGGTGGGCTTGAACACATTGCGAAAGCTGAAGCTGTTCACCTGTGGTGCCCCCATTAGTTACTTGCCCATACAGGTCCTTTCATGATCTCCCAGTATCACCAGGGTGTCTCATCTTGTAATGTTGTATGTCTTAAATTGTCGGTGCTCAGACAAAACCGAAAGATTTTATAAGTTTTTTGTGTGCATATTTGTTTGTTAGCAAGACACCCCCCACCCCCATGTGACCAACCTCTTTCCCCCTATTACCTGGTCTTAATACTTATAGCTATGTATCATAAGCCAAACTTTCTTTGGAATAACAGACATTGGATGAACTGTCCTTTGCTATGATGAAAATAACTGATTTGCATGTGCAGTCAGATCTATTGGTCGTTAAGAAACAGAAGAAGCGCTATTGTCCAGTATACTTTCAAAAGGTTTGTCAGGCTCCATTTCCTTTCACTTACCTTACCCAGTCTGGTTAAGTCTTCACAACTTCCTTCCTGGTTCAGGAGGACATAGAAAGAGAGCTTAGAAAGGCGTCTAAATCTTCGAAAGGATCAGCCTTATCTAAGCAAATTATGGTATGTGATTTTATATGTTTCTTATTGCTGTCCTAAGCTCTCATGAAAACTTGGCCATCTGGTTTCTTCAGGTTGGTAGTTTGGAGGATGTCTTGAAGAAAATGGAGGTAGGATGGTGACAGAAACATAAGATAGACTCAGGACTGCTTGTACCTTACTTGACTACTAACATCCTAAAACTCTTGATTCTACAGATTAACGACAGAAATTCTGGTTGGGATGACTTAATCTTCATACCACCTGGAAAGAGCCTCAACCAACATATCAATGAGGTATCAGCGTAGTTTTGTTGTGCAGTGATAGCACGGAGTTTGAGCACACATATTTTCTCACTTGAAATGCTGTGATGGCCAGCCTATCAACTATATTAAGCCGCTGCCTGAGCTTTTTTTTTTCTCTTAATAATTAATTCACGGTTAGCTCTGTAAGGAAAAATTTCAAGGTCAAGTGATAAATATGGCTGTGATTTTTTTGCCATTGTACTCTAGAAATATATTATTTATTTGTTTCCTGTTTCTGGATTTACAAACATCAGGTTCAGAAAGAAGAAAGACTGACAAAAGTATGGTGCTATATCTTCTTTGGAAGATTTAGCTCCATATGAATTATTTTTCTGTACAAGATTGCAATCATGAAAGAGAAAACATGATTAGAACTGTGCCATGGTTGGGTTTGTTATCATACTGCCTTCGTAAAAAATTGGTTCTCTTTGTCCTCTTGCCATCAGAATTTACACTCGTGCACTGGTCATGCCAACCGGATAAAAAACGTCACAGAATCTTGTTCCTTTGTTGAGTGCAATCTTTTTTTTGTGGGGGGCGATGGAGTGCAATTTACGTGGTTGCTATGAAGCTAGAAGAGGTGTTCATGGAAAGAAAAGAAGAAGATGGTTGAAGTGGAACCAGCATAAATGACACAAATGCCATAGGTCATAATTTTTTGATATTATAAATCTCGGAGATTTTCTTTCCAGCCATAAGAGAAATTTATAGGCTTGCCATAGGATATTTTATGTAGACTGAAAGATGAAGGGAGTTTGAGTACCAAGAAATAGAGATGAATAACATTTCTTTGCTCGGCAAGCTGCTTTTAGGCTCATTTATACGAGGAAGGGGTTTGACTGAAACAAGATTGTTTCTCAAGTGGAATTTAGTAGCGGGTATTCTCAGTTTTTGGTCTGGGTTTATGCGTGCAAAGCATTTCCTTTTGCTGCTACTGCCAGGTCAGTTCCACCTCCAGTATGTCACGCAAGTTCACTACTTTGGGGAGGATACTTGGGCTGATATTGAACCATTTTGTCAAATATCCCATGATCCCATCCTCCTATATAGTGTTGCGGGTAGCAAATTGTCATTCCGGCGAGCAATCATTTGGGTTGGGCCTAACTTGGAACAAGCTTGGTCGAACAGGTGGAAACTATCGGGTTATGACAACAACTAGAAACCCTTCTGTTTCTTGGTTCAATCTATGCATCGGTCCCTTATGAGTTATCATATTTATTTTCGGCATAAACATATTTTGAAAATAAAAGTACCCTGAAGGATAACTTTCTTTTTGTGCTGTCTTCTGAGCGGGATTGTTCTCACAAAAGAAACTATAATTATAAGAAAGAAAGTAGCGCCTATGTCTCAGTTAGCTCATAATTAACCATCTCTCAGTCAGTTTTCTAAACTTGTTCATACATATACAAATCTAAAATGATGTTCACTGTCTTATAAAGATTTGTTTGTATAGTACAAAAAGTGTAATATTATCTTATCTGATTGAGAGTTAAGTTTTCAGTAAATTTTACAGATACGATCGTTCAACTAGTGCACAAAATTTCAACGTTTGTCCAAACTTCAATTTTTTAAAATATTAAATCTTGCATGGATCTCAACGTCAAATCAACGGTCCCCGTTAAAAGGAAGTAGTGGGAGATTAGAGATTATAGCTTCTGGCTTGTGAGCTTCTGGTTTTTGTGATGAAAGACGAGACTAGTAAAACGCTGTCATCCAGCCCTTTTGCCTCCCACCTTAGGATTCTCATATGATGGAAAATTAGCTACAAGGGTTTGAGAAGGGATTATGTTCACACACACTATTCTAGCTATATATATATTGGTTTATATGGCCATCAGAACGATGTTAACTTTGACAAGAAAGTTCTCTATCGTCTAAATCAGGTGATCAAATGCGGTGGCTTACCACGATCATGGGCGCCATTGCAAAGAGCTGAGTTTAGAGAAGTGATGGCAACAGGGGAAGGTCGTGGTCATGGAGGTATTTTCTGCTACTAGTTGGCCCACCTGCAAGCGACTAGGCGATGGCGGCGATGGCAGACTTTTCTGAACTTTAATTTACTTATTATTCGCTTAGTTGCTTATCATATGATTGTTCAGATGTTGTGACTTGTTTGGATGGTTCGTGTAACAAGTACTCGTTCGGTTGCTTCCGTATACGAAGTAGTAGTTCATTGGATTACCTTTTCCTCTAGGGTTTCCTAGAGTCCACCTTTTCCTCTGGCGGCGCCGCCAGAGTCCACGAGGGTTCTTCGCCAAATTGCTAGATCTCGCCGGCAAAACGAGGGTTCTTCTGGAAGGAAGTAGAGAGGATGATCAGGAGGTGAAGGAAGACGACACAGGTAGTGAGGAGGAAGAAGAGCTTGGATGGGATCACTATGGCCCAAACCCTGATCTAGAAGACGCCTTTGAAGGTCTGAATTTACATGGAGAGGAGGAAGAGGATCTGGATCTTTCGGGAGAGGTGGAGGAATTGATCAGTGAGGTTCGTTGGCTTGCCCTTTTTAGGGTTCATACTCTGCGTCCGTTCAGCCACGCGGCGCTGTTGAATTCTATGAGGAACGCGTGGACATGTGCGCAAGGTGTAACCTTCAATATTAAAGGGCCAAATTTGTTCCTTGCCCGATGTCACTGTTTGGGAGATTGGAAGAGGGTGATGGAGGGAGGACCGTGGCAGTTTCATCGCGATCCAGTGGTGCTAGTGGAGTATGATGGCTTCACCAATGTGGCGGACTATGCTCTTAATATGTATCCGTTGTGGGCGAGAATTAAAGGCTTGCCAGATGGTCTCACGAGGAAGAAGGAACTAGCAGAGAAGGTCGCGAAGAAGGTCGGTGATCCACCATTTACAGTGGTGGTTAATGAAGGGAGGATTAACCCCTCAAACTTTCTAAGAGTGAGGGTTTTCGTAAATGTAAACCAGCCACTGGTGAGGTTTGTGCCGATCACATTGAAAGAGAGGAAAAAGTACCCAGTAAGGTGTGAGAAACTGCCGAATTTCTGTTATTACTGTGGCTGCATGGGCCATGTTGTGGAGGAGTGTGGAGATGGGGTACATGACCCGGATGTCTGTGAGTGGGGGGATTGGTTACATTGGAGTAATGACTCTGAGGGTGCAAGTGATGCTAAAGGAGGCAGGGGTGGTTCGTGGTCGAATGCAGCTGGGAGAGGAGGAGGAAATACTGGTGCTGGTTGAGGAGGGGGTAGGAGTGGTGGAAGAG